AGAATATCAAAATATGTGAGACAAAAACTTATAGAACAGAAAGGAGAAACGGAATACTTTAGTTCACTGCATGAGGTTTTTCTTGGTTTTCTTCTGGTCTATCAGATATTCCAGAAAGCACATGACCTGTTTTTAAGGAAGCAATGGCTGTGAGTTGGGAGAGGAACAGCAGATGCTAAATGACCCCTAGTGTGACTGGGCTGGAGCTGGGGAAGATAGGCAATGAAATTTACTAATAAGTCTATGTAGTACAGGGTACCCTCCACTGTAGCTCCTGGGCTCAGTTTGAGTGCAAGAATCTTGAGGCAACATTATCTGCCATCCTTCCTGTGGCCAAGTTTGCAGCTGATGGGTAACAAGTGCAGGGTGAGGGCAACCAATGGGAGATGAGAACAGCTTCTCTCTTGGGCTCCTTGCCCAGAGCATGAGTTTCTGAAAACACAGATGGATTTTTATATTTTCCTAAAACACAAAGCACCAGACTTGAAAAGGGGTTTCAACAAATGTTTCAAAACATTACTTGCTGATTATGAAGACTGATACTTGCTTAGATTTGAGAAATTTACAGTTGGCACATTTCATTGTGTGGGAGCTCAAACGGAGAAATAAAACCACACTGATTTAAAACTATAGTTGGTTCTGTATTTTTAAGGAGACAATTGATTTTGTGTGTGTGTGTGTTTTGGTTTGTTACTGATTTGTTTTGATTTTTGCTTTAGAAGGCTCTCTACTAAGTTTGCAAGCCGTGTCGTAGTCTGGAAGCTGAAGGATGAGAAGGGAAAAACAATAGATGTAACAACAAATGCTCTGCATGATGAGTGTAAAGTGACATCTTTTTGTGCGGAGGGTAGTTGTACAAGTTCCATGGTCCTTAGTAAACTGTATCTTGTTATATTACATAGATAGTGCCTATTTATCTAGATGACAGACTTCCATACAAATCTATTTCATGAAAATACTAAGACCTTCTGAAATTTTAACTGCATACCAATTAGCTGGGGGCCTTTATGTTAAAATGCAGGCTTTAATATAGTTCTTGGTGTTGCCTACAATTCTACATTTCTAACAAACTTCCAGGTGGTGCTACAGCTCTATTCCATGGATCACATTCAGCATAAATGAACCTCGAAGAAAGACCTGGGAGATTAGACGCTGCTATGCAAGTCACACAAGCCCTTCTAATACCAGTTCACTCCACAGCTTAAAGAAACTCAGGCCTAGACCACCCACTGTCTGAGTGAAAGGCACTAAGGTCCTTCTAGGAATTCTTGAGTTTTCAATTTGACACTGATAATAGAGCTCTAGTTTAATCCCTTAATTTTACTGATGAGGATATTGAGCTCCTCAGGGGTTAAACCATTTGGTCATTATCACATAACTATTGAAATGTATGGTCAGGATTCTAACAGCAGTCTTCTGACCAGTGTGCTTTACCGGCTTCCTGTAAGGCAGGAAGTCAGCCTCCAACAGAAGATACAGGGACAGGATACAGTGTGAACAGTGGAGGCATCAGCAAAGCTGGGGCAGAAAACAAAGGATGATGAAACCAGTGTAGGTTCAATAAACGAATCTATGAAAGATAAGAGACAACAAAGTGTAGAATTAGTAATTTAATATTGATATAACAGTTATGATGGAGGACAGCAGATCAAACAGGGTCATTTGCACTAGGATACGGTGTGTGAGACATAAGGGTCTGGGGCGATCATGTGAGCTCCTTTCTTCCTCATGCGGTGAGTGATCCAGGTTCAGGTCTCAGGCAAAACTGCCATGATACCCTTTCTTCTCTTTATTACACTAGATGAGAGCCTGACTTAGAGGCCTCCCAGATTCAGGCAAGGACTAAGGAGTCCATTCCATAGCCCTCTAAGATGTTTAATGATTAAGCAGAAACATCTGTCTCCAACGGGTGTAATTCAACCCAAGTCTC